TGTAGCTCTTTCCCTCGTTTTTAGCTGCAAGGACTGAAAATCATAAACTGATCTTGCTTCTTTATTCCATTCTCCATTTCCACTAAGTGGCCCATAGTGGATAATGTAAAGAATTTTAGCTGCAGTAGGATCTGTAAATGTTTGAAATTTTACTACATCTATTTCTGTGATATGTAAGTGCCTCAAAATCAATATTTATCACATTGTTATGTCATCTGGTTTTTTTTCCATAGAAAACTGAAATGCAGACATCATAACTTAGGGTTCATAAGACACTGAGTAGCAGAGTGTTGAACTCAAGCCACAGATTTGCAGTAAAGTTGCAGGAAAATCTTGTTAAATTAAACCCCTTATTATAAGCAAACCAGATGTTCTGAATACTTTTTTTTAGTACGTGGGTTGGACAATAATTACTTTTTGATTTACTGCATCATTTTAAAAAAATATCTGAAGGAGAGATCTCTTCTACATATATTGAGGTCCCTTTCCAGTTTGGTGATTAACAAGCACTTGAATCTAAAATGGTCAACTGTGCTTTGTCCTAGGATATCATTTAAATCAACCTCTTCTTTGGTAATCAGAGACAGAACAAAGGATTATTATCTTATAAGTCTCACTCAGACAAGAAGACCCTTCCTGAAAGGGCAGACCCACACACTGGAAAATTTAAGGTGCAATGATGTATTTCAGAATGAAGGCCAGGGACAAGATTTACTTAAACAAACAATCTAGTTTGGCTTTTAAACCCATTTCTAATCCCAGACCAAATTTCAAGATATGGTGAACTAAATTTATTTTGAATAGATATGTTTCATATCAATCACAAATTTAGTACTTTTATACTCAGATCTGAACTCAGGTGAAAGACAAAGCTTGTGAAGTAGGGAGTATAGTAAACTAAGTAATTAGCCAAAAAAATAATGAATGATGGGCGTCAGGCCTTGAAAGGTAAAGGATTTTCAGAAAGGATGCATTTTCATGGGACGTCAGAGCACAGCAGCATTGAGAACAGCATCCCATTGCTCTGTAGTGCTGAAAACACGTGAGCTCTGTGATTTGTTAGCCACCTGAAAATCGTATATTATGTTTTTATTCTCTGCTGATCAATTTTATTTATTGTTGTATTTCATGTTTGATAACTGGATATAAAAATGACTGAGAGGATTTTTATGGCCCTAGACAAACCTTTGTAAGAGAGTCATGTACATAAACCTGAGAGAGATTGATTCTAGTGCACGTAGCTCAAAACCTCAGTACTTCTTAAAAGTTCAGGTTCCTTTTAGCATCTAGCACAAATGAACAAAAATCTTAATGAAAATGCAGATGATGGTCGTTTTGCCATCACTGACTCATAGTGACCAGAGCAGAAGCTGGAAAGCTGAAGAGCCTAGAGGCACCACAGCCATAGCAGAGCAATTATAGTGTAATGTGGAAAGGCAAGGCCTTAACAATTCCCTTAATATCTATGCAACTATAATGGCCTTCATGGTCTCAAAGATCATAAATAATAAGAATGAAAAATATCCCTCTGCAATAATAGACTTTTGTTTCCTAATTTTCATAGTGACACAAAGCAATTGCTCAGTAATTTCTATACATTTCCTGCCAGTTGCTGCAGGCATGTCGCTTGCTAGGGTAGCAATAACCCAGAAGAACAGGACATGGTACAAAGCATCAGTACAAAGCATTTCATTATGAATATTAAATGATGGCATGACATGCAAAAAGCATCAGTGTGTGTACAGATTGCACTTATCAAAGGGACTTAATATAAGTTAAAAATATAAGATCTTAAAGATAATATTGTCTCAGATGGGTAAAGATATACTGTATTATTTTAAAAGCAAGAATAATTTAATCTTAAGTTGTGTTTTTATTCAGGGCTAAAAAAGCAAGTGTTAAATACTTTATAACAACTCAACACAATTATTTTCCAGAGCAAAACCCTACCCAAAAGCAAAAACACCCAAGTTTTAATTTCATTGAAGCACAAAACCTCAGTGAGTGTGGACAGTCAGCAGATGTCAAAGATTTAAAAGGAATTACTTAGGAATAGAAGTCTCCATCATAAAATCCAAGTGAACTATTTTTAGCATTGTTCATTACAAGGAAACATAGGAGATTCCTCTATCAGAACTGAAGTTCTTGTAATTGAAGTTTAAATAGAAGAAATCTCAGGAGAAATATTGACATTACAAATAATAACAAAGCACCAAGGTCCCTCTTGTGTATGGAAGGAAGCTGGATGTACTATTTTCCTTCACTGAGCCCTAGGACTAGAGGGAAGGTAGGTAGAAAAGGTGGGATTTTTTAAAAAAAGAGACTCCTAAGAACATCTGAGAAATGACAGACCACTAGGTCTGACTTCTGTGTCAAGTGTGTTGATTGAAAAGACATAAAAAATATGATCATTAGGATTGTATTTATCACATTATCATACAGCAGTCTTACCACACAGTCATGGACCAACAACACAGCTTTTAACCAGGGAAGCCATGCCTCAGTCTGTATACAGCTTTCCTAAAGAGACTGAGAGAATACAAGCAGAATTAGCCAAGCTGCTTTCATTTCACATAATTCTTTACAGGGTCCCTCATCAAAGGCTGTCAAAGAAACTAAATTTTTAGAGGGGCTGAAATACAGCCTCATTTTCAATTAAAAATAGATTAGAAAAAAATCCACCTATTGTATGCGTATCTAAACAGTTTGGAGAACTGGTAGATTGTCAGTGAAGACTTTCCTGGGATTTCTCTATTCAACACATAAACTGTCTGGAAATAAAATGAACAGGGAAGTAGAGAAGATTGTTGATACAGAATTACTCAGAATTTTGAGAGTTAAAACTAACCCTGAAGAACTGCAAAAGGATATTGTGATAATAGAAATAGAGTAGATAGGCAATAAATAACATCACCACCAAAAAATTTATATAATACCTAGACCTAAAATTATAATACCTTTATTAGATATAATCAGTAAAGAGATTAAGGTGTCATGGTGTACAAACATGAGGTCAAGTACAAAACAGCAAATAGAACTGAATTTTGTTGAACAAACAAAAAAATTCCAAGGAAAAGATAGTGTGAAGGAAAGATCTACATCTTCATTATTGCTGTGCAGTTCTCATCTTCACATCTCAAAGTGATAGAGTGGAATTTGAAGAGGTGCCTCATGGGCACTAAGAATGTTTATTAAAGACTCTTTTTAATGAAGGATTAATGGTTTGGAGGTTTTCAGTCTGTTAAAGACATTTTTAAAAGGATAGATATCCTGTAAGACTACGTAATCGGTTGACTAGGATAAATCAGAAACTAGTATTCAAAATCTAAAAAAATTCAGAAAACAGTAAACAAAGTCACAAGGAATGTAAGTAAATTACAAATTTATTGACATGTTACAGGCCAGTGGGAATACATTTTTTATGAAATATTATATTAGCAATCACTTCAGTCTAGGCGAAGGAAAATTTTAATTGACTACCATTTTTTTGATGACCTGGCTTTATTTTAATACCCAAGACACACATGTTAATTGCTTTTCATATTTAAAAAAAGGGTTCATAAAGCAATGTAAAACACTGATTTATGTGTGTCTTGGCTGAAATGGGTCAGTATGGCTAGCACATGTAATACTTGCAGGATTACGTTTTTAAAAAGAAATCTGCTACCTAGAAAGCCACATTATTTATAGAATTGCATTATTTCAAATAAAAGCATTTTATGCTTTCTGTTTCTGTCATTTGATTCAAATAGGCGACACATTTAGATTTTCCAATTAGACTTAAGCTCCTGATTAAACATTCAAATATGTTCAGACTTCCTCCCAGAACCAAGCTCCAGGAACCAAAATGACAATGAGAAAAGGAGAGCACAGCTCCACTGGAAACTCCTGAGCCCCATAAGCAACATTTGAAGGCTAGGACAGTTGATCTCTAAAAGAAGAAGATATCTCTTTTTGTCTCCTTCCTTTTTATCTCTTGCTCCTATTTGCTTGCTTTAGAGTGTTTTGGAGAATCTTGACTGATTTTTATAGATTTAGACTTGTCTTGTTTCTACTTTTTCAACAAGTCATATTTTATTCAGTTTTCCTCATCTAAAAATTTGAAAAATTCTTATTGTTTTTAAATACAGCCTTTTGTTCCTGAGTATTTCCTACCTCCACAGCCCAAATTCCATCTAACAAACATAGCTGTTAGAGTCATATTCTTCTCCTTCCATGCTGATTATGATATTTCCTCCAAATGGCATCAAGTACAAATGTCTCACCTCACCTTATAAAACATACCTCCATTTCCCTACTGATTTCTCATTTCCTAAGGTCTTGTGATTCTTCAAAGCTGTGACTCACTCTACAGTAAATCTGGGATAACACAGATATTGATTTACATTTTTCTATTTTCCCATTCCTGAATGTTTCTCCATTTCCTAAATAACATTTCCTAGAATTCTATCTTACAGTGTTGTCCTGAAATCTTCTCCCAAATTAAAAATCTCACTGAAAAGGACATAACTAAATTTTGCATGTCTTCGTTTCTGTGTCTATATCCATGTACACAAATGCTCCACATAATTTGAGGACTTTTTGCTGAGCTTAGAAGATTCTCAGTCAAACACAGCATGATATGTTGATTTATTTGTCAAAATTGTCAATGTGCTGGTAAACAACGACTTGGCCTATGAAAATTCTCACTCCCCTATTGATTGCCAGCTTGCATCTTTGAAAATTTAAATATTAACCCAAGTTCGAAAAAAAAAAAAATCCTTTTTTTAAGCTCAATGTTGTGCTGCTGAAGAGCATTTTAGTGTGTATATATATATATATATATATATAGATATAGGCATGTATATACTGGACCTGAGCACAGCATATCAGATCAAGCAAGGCTATCTCCATCAATTACCAATGTTACTGCTGGGCAGATTCAAAAAGCAAGCCAGGCTCTTTTTGTGAAAATGGAAAATTGATGATCTTTCATATTTTAAACATTCATTATTTTCCAGGTGTGATGGGGGAATATGAACCAAAAATTGAAGTCCATTTTCCTTACACAGTTACAGCTGCAAGGGGAACTACTGTTAAGATGGAGTGTTTTGCACTTGGAAAGTAAGTACAGATTCTTTCATAATTAGACATAATTGTTTATTAAGATGAGACCTGCCTGATTTGTGGTTTCATTATTTTGCTGGATTTTATTTTTACAGACAATCCTTACTGCACTATCAAAATAACCAATTAACTAAATAGCTAATTATGAACTCCCTGCCCAGCCATTTCTGTGGTCAGGAATTCAGTCAAGTTAACTATCTCTGTCAAATGAAAAGTATCAATCTCATAAACAAAAAGAGGAAATGTTTTTTTAATTGAAAATTTTACCAGACTCACATCCATTTTTTTTCTCTAGGATACTATCTACCAGTAAATTAGAATTTTTTCTGTCAAAATGTCATATTTGGAGAATAAATAAACAGTAGCTTTTTCTTCCCTCCCCCATATTCATAATTTATACATGAAGCTAAGAGCACAATGTCTTGATCATGTCCTAACACACTTTTTGGCAGTGCCTACTCTACAGTTTCTACCTGACTTAATAGCACTAGTACAGAATGGGTGTTTGCTATTCATGTCAAGACATTTGTTGACAAAAGAGTTTAGGGAGAGATAGGTGTGAAAAACTGATACTAAAATTACTTCTACACAGTACTCAGATTACAGAATATAGGATGAAATTGATAATATTTCGGTTTTGTGGTGGTAGTTACTACTAGTTACTCAAGTTACTATTATGATTGTTTCCAAGAATTAGGCTGGCAATGTTCGTATACAACCAGACAGAACTAAGAGTCAATTCTAGTGATTCAAAGAGATTCTTTCTTCTTCTCATGTATGCTGTTAAAAACGATGTTCCTGCAATGATGTTTCTCCAGAGAAACATAAAAAATTATAACAGTTTGGGTTCTTTCCAAAATACCTCATCAAATTCTGTGTGGTGCATTGAAAAAAATCTCACTGTATTGAATTCTTTTCAGTACCTTTTCATAATGATGTTCCTTTTGGACATCTTGCCCCTAGTCTCCAAAGTTATGCTGCTAAATATATAATATATCCTGCTTGCTTTAATAGTTCATGGCTTATCAAAAAAAATACAAGTTTCTTACAGCATGGCCTTGATTAAAAAATAAGGGAAGAATTTGTCTTTCTAACTCTTTTGGAGGAATTTGACAAAAGTGTTAGCCTGAGAAATACTATGTCTTCCATACCAATTCTTTTTATTTAACTAAGGAGGAACGAAACATAAGAGGTTAGAAGTTTCAAGACAACAGTCTGTTTTCCTGAATATCATTCCTCCAGCTTGTTCAGCAGGTCTGGTTTTCCAGAGTGACTTTTCAGAGCCTGTCTCTACTACCTGAGAGGGCTTTTAAAATGTTTTAATAGTTCTTTTAATCTTCATGTCACTGGTCACTGTATTTTTTCTGTTCAGATTTTTCTCTTAACAGTTCCTAATTACTGAATGGATGATATATGTCTGAAACTTACTCCCTTCTTGATGGTTTTTCGTGTATTACCAATTCTGAGATGCTCTCAGTGTGCAGGTCAACAGAAATTATACACAAATAATTAAAGAGAAATTCTGACAAAGTTTTTCAGTTGTATCTATTTTGATTCAGTGAAGTTAATGAAGGAACCAAATTTGAGACATGAACTTTTGTAGGGTAAAACACAAGTCTTATGTTTTATATAGTAAAGATGAGGAAAGAGGTGCATGGCAGAGCACAGAAAAGCAATAAATGGCGAGATTCCCCGAGATGCTGAAATAAATGAGGAAAAGGATTGTTGTGCAGAGGCTGATGGCTCCAGGCTCTCTCCTGTCAGAAACATTTCCAAGTCAACAGAGGCCCTTTTAGACTCTTGGCTATGGTTGAAGCAGTAACCAACATATTACTTCTTATTTTCCTCATTTTGCTGGAATTAAATTGCAGTTGCTGACAGATTACAAGTCAACTTTCCAGTGAAAAGGAGGTATGACACACGTTGTGCTCTGCAACCATCACTGGAAGGCAGGAAGGAGACCTAGTGATACCTCCCATCTTCAGCACCCTGAGATTTAGTTCCCTCTCTCAAAAAGATTCAATTGCTATTCATAAAGGAAGGTGAAGTTGATAGGAAAGGCTTCGATTAGGTTATTTCCTTTTTTTTATTTGATGTTAATCTTTAATAAACAAAATAGACAAAACACCTGAATGATCAAGGAGTTTAAGGTTATCTAATAAGACCCCATTTGCTGCTATTATAATGGGCAGCTATTTTTACCATGCACATTCCTTATCTTCTTTTCTCAGCCATTAATGCACAATCAAATCAGATGAGCTGAAATTGCTTTCAACTTGATGTGGTAATAATTACATGAATGACATTTCAGGCACCATTTGAGACCTGGAGGCTGAGGTGGGAAGTAGAAATGCATCACATTTTCTATTCATTTTCATAATTTTCATTTTTTTGTCCCCATTTCTTATTCCTGATGCCCCATATGGGTTGTTGCTTGTTACATTGCCATGGGTCTCATTTGCTAAACTGAATCAACAACTAATTTTTTCCTTTTTTATTTAGTATTTTTAAACTTGGTATTTTTTATTCTTGTTGTAAATAACACTGGGGTTATTACAACCTCAAAACCAATAGGCTGCTGGTTTTCTCATGCTTTAATTTAGCTGTCTGAAACACTCTGCTCTTTCCACTGTAATTGTGAGAATGACAGATGTTCCAGTGAGATTTCCTGAAGTAGGCATTTGGCAAATATTCCAGGAAGAGCCTAGTCTTTAGTTACTGATTAATGATTTATTAATAGTGTTTATTTAGCACTGTCAATCACTTTGACTGAAAGAATCAAATAAATTGAAGCTCTGTAGCTTTTGTTTTCAAGCTAAAGTCAAATATCTTAATTGCTTGACAGAGAAAAATTTTCTGACAAGGATTTTATTCTGACCCAAGTAGTGTGGGGCTGGTTCAGTTATAAGTGGAAATATGTTACTGACGCCACTTACAAACAGACTTTGTAGTTGCTGAAGAATTCAAAGTAACGCAGGAGTGAAATATCTCAAGATTATCTTATTTGTACTAGATAATGCTTCTTATCATGAGCATCAATCACTGGCTAGGAAATAACTGTATAAATCAATTATTTACTGCTGAGGTTTAACAAGACATGAAAAACAGAGGAGCCAAATAAAATTTACTGCATATATATATCAGAGTGTGCATTTTGCAGTTAGTGATCTTTTGGCTGGGTATATATGCTGGCCCAAGGTTTCTTTTATAGACATATACACTGTCACATCTACACAATAACTATCAGTTACATCCATCTTTCATACCTGTACTTCTATATAGCATACAGATATGTTTTCTGCTGCATATTTAATGATGTAATTTCTATTAGAAATGCTTGAATTTTTATTTTTTTTGTTCTCTAACAAAACAAGGGATGGTATTTTTTTAAAAAAAACATACTAAAAATCCCACTGGCAATTACAAGATATTAACAACTTCTATTTAACTTTCCACAGTAAAAGAAATGTTTCTTTTTAATTGGCAGAATTGCTACATCCTGATTAGTATTTACATAAAACGCTGTTAAAATAATCAAATAATTGAAAAGAAAAAGAAAAAAAATCTGATTGGAAGCATTCAAAGCATCTAAATTAATGAAAATAATTTTAAACAGCAGTATGTTAATGTTTGCTTTTGAGTAACACAGTTTTCACTCCTTGTGTCTTCTCTTATTTAAAAGGACAAGTTAATTTTTTTTTTTTAATCTAATAAATGAGCTAATGGATAATGAGGCTTCTGTTTGTAGTCCAGATAATCCTGATTTAGTGTGTACATTTCAGTGTCAGACCTTAGATTTCTTATGTAAATCAGGAAGACAGATCATGACCTGGTTCTTTGGAAAAGTTCTGGCGTAGAAGATATCATTTTCCTGATTAAAAAAAGCTCATGCTTTTGCACGAATTATAGCAATCCTGGCTTTTCCTGCTCCAGAAATGCAACTTTTCAGATGCTGCCTTCTGTGACAGCATTTTGTCATTTTTATTTTCTCGCAAATGTTACTGACTTTGCTTCCAAGAACATCTAGAGGCAACTGATCCATTCTTTAATTTCTTTTATCATGTATTTTATTCAAAGAAATAATTCTGGTGCCTTCATTTATCTGCCAATTAGAAAGAGATGAAATTAATGCGGTTGATATGCAAAAGGACTCTAAATTCCTTCCCCACTATATGACACATTCATTAATGAAGCACTTTGGTGACAGCCATCCAAGCATCCTTTAGCACTTCCTGACTTTGGAGCATACTTATGTCATAAGAAATTTTAACACTATTATTTTAAATATGGGACTTAAAGGCAGACAGAGACGGAAATATACTTTTTTTTTTCCTTAAACCTCAAAATGAACAAGTTTTCATAGTTTTTGTCCAAGTTAGCATGAAAAGCTGTAAGTTCCTGCCCTCTTCAATGAGCCCAGGCCCTTGGCCTTAGAGGAAATCAAGAAAAGTGAAAATGTCAGAAACAGCTTTTTTTTTTGCCTTTATTACCCTTGCTAGCATATAACTCTAAGTTGTCTTCTTTCTTGCATTTAAAATCATTCTACTCTCACTCATTAACCCAGTTTTTAAAATTTTAAACTGTGTATAATGCACGCATCCTATCTGACCCTCACACTTCAGTCATTTCCTTAGTGCATTTTTGTTTGTGCATTACACCGGACTTCTATTTTATTTTCCATATAAAAGTCACATTTCATTGGTTTTCTGGCTCTATTCAGGGAAAGAAAAAAAAAAAGAGTTTGTATTATGATAGTGCCAGCAGCCAATTTTGAATAAATAATCATATTTTATTTCTCATTAAAACAAATTATAAGATGTGGGCTATTGCAGTACTTGTAGATTACCAGAGTTTTCAATCTTTGTTTTTAAAATAAGAGCTGTATAGATTACCAAAAGGATTGTTTTGCTAAAAACAAAAATAAGTTTTATGCATCCCTTTATTTATACTACAGGACTTTTTGAACCACATGGTTTAACACATAGATATTTGAATCA